TCCTGAAGTGCCAGTTGCTGGAGCCACTTTCGTCAGTTCTCCTGATCCGCCGCCTGATTGTTTTCGGCCGCAGGATATTCTGAGTGCCCAGTCTGCTGATCCTGATCTCGCTGCGGTTTTGTCTTGGTACGATGCTGCCAGTGGAAATTTGTCCATCCACCTGAAGAGGATATCCGTCCCTTCAGCCGTCTTCAGAAATTCCTTTGGCCTTCTGGTTCTCAGTTGCGTCTTATCGATAAGGTGTTGTATCTTGATCCCCCGTTCGCTCATGATGTTGATGTCGAACATCCTGTTTTGATTGTCCCTGTCGTTTTGCAGTCTGCTGCGCTCGCGTCTGTTCATTCTCTGCCCGGTGCTGGTCACTTTGGCATTGAGAAAACGTTACATCAGGCCCGTCAACGTTTCTTTTGGCAGGGTGTGGCATCCGATGTCCAGATTTATGTACAGAGTTGTCCGACTTGTGCTCAGTTGGCTTCTAAGAATCCAGTCCACCGTGCTCCGTTGCAGTCCATGGCTGCTGGTTTTCCGTTTGAGTTTGTCGCATTGGATATCGTTGGTCCACTTCCTGTGACTCCAACCGGTAACAGGTATGTCCTTGTCATCGTCAACTACTTCACTCGCTGGGCTGAAGCCGTTCCTTTGTCTGCCATTACTGCTGAGGCTGTCACTCTGGCATTTGTTCATGGTTGGGTGTCTCGCTTTGGTGCGCCACGTCGCCTCCACTCTGACCAAGGCTCTCAGCTCGAAGCTCGGTTGTTCCAGTCGTTGTGCACTATCCTTGGCATCCGGAAATCCCGCACAACCAGTTACCACCCCGAGGGCAATGGACTTGTTGAACACCTCAATCGTAAGTTGATCCATCACCTGAAGGCTTTTGTTGGCCCAACAGATGTCCATTGGGATATTCACCTTCCGCTTGTTCTTCTCGCCTACCGTGCTGCTGTACACAGTAGTACTGGTTTTACGCCTTCCCGTTTGTTGTATGGTGCTGAGCTTCACCTGCCTGTTGATCTGATCTTTCCTCCTCCTGATCCTCCCGAGCTCTCCCCATTTGCCTATGTTCAGCTCGTACGTGACGGTTTAGCTCAGGCTCATTCTGTTGCTCGTGTTCAATTAGCTGCTGTCCATCGTCACCAGAAGTCAGTGTATGATGCACACTGCAGTGGTCCTTCGTTTGTCTTTGGAGATTTAGTCTGGCTGCATGATAAGGTAATTCACGCCGGCGAGTCTGCCAAATTCCACCGTTATTGGTCCGGTCCGTTTCGTGTTGTTCGTGTGAATGGTCCTACGTCGTATACCTTGTCTATGCCTGGGTGTGAGCGTACCGTTCATTTCAATCGCCTCAAGAAAGCTGTAACTGTGTCCGGTCCTGTTACTTTGCCGCTGCCTGATGATGAGTTGCCGCGCTGCGTTCCGCCGCTACAGCCGCCGTCGTCTGATCCGGTCCGTACTTCTTCTCCTGTTTCTCGTCGTTCTGGCCGTGTTCGCACTGCACCTACTCGACTAGCTGACTATGTCCTGGACTGAGTTTATTATTAGGTTTGTTTTCTTTTGTTGTTTCCTAGGTATTTCGTTCATTCCCGTGGACGTGAATTTTAGCTAGGGGGGCACAGTGTAATAGGTGTATGTATGCTACGACCTGTATACTCACTATTCGTATTTCCCGCTCGTTCCCCTTGGCAATGAGCCACTCACATAGAAGAGCGCATGCTCCAGTTCTGTTCTGTTCTGTTCTGTTCTAGTCTGTCTTGAGTTGTCGTTGTCCTGTTCTCCTTCTGTCTACACTCTTGTCGAATACTTCTATAATCCAATAATATAAAACCCCTGTGTTTCGGTGTGAGGGAACTTCCGGGAGCAGCTGACGGGATCGGGTCGGGTGAAACTGAGGAAACCATAGCTTAAGTGTCGTCAATATGCTCACAATCTGTAGGAATTTGATACTGTTCGGCAACATTGGTATTTTTATGAATGAGTATAGGATGATTTGCATGATTTTCAACAGCCACAACCACACGTGTTTGGTTAGGGCCAACAGTCACAAGACTAGGAGTCACTGCATATACACAGGAAAACGTCAAGCGAATCGCAACATTGATATTCTTAATCAATTTGGATTTCTTTCGCATCACAGTTTGTTGGATATTCAGTCTCCTTTGGACTAAATTGATGTGTAGCTGTTGAAAGTGTTGGTATGTTTGGGTTACCCTAGGTCTCCATTCGTCATGGATTTACCTGCTCGCGAGGAACGCCTCAAGTTTCCAGAGCTGCGAAGATTCTGTGGAGTATGTTACTATCATATTTAACATGTGTCGTTCCACTCATCTCGGAAATTCAACGCCCGTTTTGCCACTGGACGGAAAAGAACCAAATGAGAGCATACAGTCGTCCCTCTCTAATCCGGCACTTGTTTATCCGGAACCCTTGCCAACCGGCGCACTTTCTGACGAAACCGATTTTTTCGTTCAATTCCTACATCTTAATCCGGCACTTGAATTCCGCCTCCGGCAGTGACTTTTTGAAACGAATCGATCAAACTGCACGTAGTTTGATTTCATAATCCGGCAGTCGTAAATCGCGTACCGTACAGGTGCACTCCTTGCCAGGCCAGGCTAGGCTTTTCCAGGAGACAACGGCAGTCAACCATACTTTCTTATTTTTATTTAGCAAGGAGTAGTGTCCTGCCAATTTTCAGGTGTGCGTGTGTGTGTGTGTGTGTGTGTGTGTGTGTGTGTGTGTGTGTGTGTGTGTGCGTGTGTGTGCAAGAGTACATGTGAACATAATCTCTGTTTTACTTTATCACTTTATCACTGTGTATATTCCCGGAGAACAATTGAGAATATAAAGCCGTGCACCAAATACTTGGGTCGACACGGGAAAACCCTGCGTTTTGACATACATATGATACTTTGTTGGGGTGCCCCGTTGTTGGAGAGTGATGTTGAAGTGGAAACCGTGTTTGAACAGCTTCCAATATACAGAATGTCGTGATCCCAGCAGCTGTTACGCAGTAGAGGATCTGCAAGAGCTGCACCTACTATCCCACGGTTTCTATTTCGTTTCAAGCGCGTGGATAGGTATTTGCTCTCCGATTGCGAAACTATCTGTATACTGCCAAGTAGTATATGTATGCATAGACCTCTCATATATGGCTTGTAAATTGTCCAATATCTTCTCAACAAGTCTGGCCTTCAACTTGTCCGTGTGACAAGAATCTCACTCATTTTAAACGTGCGCATTGTGTCCCTACAAAACAAAATTAATATCCATACAGAAGGTGTTCATTTCATCCCTGAATGTATATTCTCATCTTGACGAGACGCTAGTTTCACAGTTGAAGCAGAATGTCGGGCGAATCCGACGGAGAATGAGGAAGCAAAAGAAGAAGCGACAGAACAAAGAATAGCTGAGCGAAACACGTCTTGCATTATATACAAGCATTGCATTGCATTATTTGACTTTCGGTCTATTCGCTTGTTTAATTTTGTTAAGTCAATTCCTGGCATTGCTGAACAACTTTGTCCCATGCCCTATATCTACAGTCTAGTATTCAGGCTAACTCGCGCTGTGGAATAAGTTACACCATACTCGAGTCTCTTTTTTCGAATTCTGTCTTGTTGACTGATCAAAATAATCAGATATTGTCTCCACTCACACTCTGTTACAATTGTCTAATCATACACAATCTAGTTTGCTTTTCGCTTCATTTGTAAAAACCAAGACAACGTGGGTGAAAGAAAATGGTGATGAGCACTTTTACGAAATCCGTCAGGCCCTGAGACGGTGAGAGGCTGAGTTGAAGTTTGTGCCCTGTCCTGTTTCGGATGTTCACTGCACGCAAGGATGGGGGAAGCAGTTTCAGATTTTGGCAGCTGTGTGTTCGATAACGGTTTCCGGTATGCTAATAATTATGGTCTCTGAATCCGACCTTTGTACATCCTGCACAGGATCGAGGAGAACACATTCTGACTCCTGTGATGTCATCAGTGTGGGGCGGAGGCGCGGTCTTCCTTTCTTTGGCCGTTGAGCTCGTGCAGACTGTGGCAGGATACACAACGGTACATGCTGTTTGATGCGTTCACTCAGGTGTTGCAGAGTTCTTCCAACATATTGGCTGTCGCAATACCGACATTCAAACTGATAAACCAATTGGCTACGTTTGAGGGTTGGAAGAACATCTTTCATTAACATGAATGAACGCATCGTGGAGAACACAGGCGTGAAGGCTACGGCATAGTAGGTATCTGAAACCAACGACCTGACCGTAAGTATGGGAGAGATTGCCTTTCCACGGCAGTCGAAGGTATATTCGACAACGATCCGGTCCAAAACCTCTATCCTCATTTGTTCTTTCACTATCGACTAGTCGTGCCACCATGTCCTCAGGATAAGCATTTCGGTGGAATACCGTTTTAAAGAAATCCAGTTCCTCAAGAAGATTAGTAGCTGAACAAGTTCGCTGTGCGCGATCCACCAACTTTCGGGCCAAGTTCACTTTATATTGAGTAAAACAATAATAATCGTGTGTAATATACGAAGGTGGGTTTCCTGTAGATGAGCACACCACCCTCACTACGGCCTCAGTCTTCTCCAGCAAAACGTCAAGGAACGCCAGTTCATTTGATTGTTCATGTGCGCTTGTGAAGCGAAGTGCCGGGTGTGCTGCGTCTTCGTCGATTTCTGATTTCCGATGGCGTCGTGGAGTTCCTTGCCAGACACTGTAGCGGTGAAACGAATATTCCAATATTCGAACATTTGTTCGGTTGGTCACATTCGAATATTCTTTAATTAAACATGCACGCCAAACACAGTACAGTGCAGCTCGGACAGCCTGCCTCTGACTTTGTACTGCATGTTTGCACATGTACATGTATGTAAACACTGGACTGCCAATGTTGCACATAACATGACATTGTATGAACTTCGAAGTAGCCTTATGTGGCAGTACATTTTATGTGGCACTACCGTTTGTCATACCTAATAATAATGACAATGTCCATCAAATGACTGGAAGGAGGGCAAGTGATGTCATCTGTGTTACCAAAAGAATATCCGTTCCTTCGTTCGTTAATAGGAAAAAAAGGTTTCAGAGCAGACTCGCTCTCTTCCCATTCACTCTGCAAACTCGAGCTCAATTGTCAATCAATTTTTACAACGTTTCGGCAAAATTGCCCTCATCAGGTACGCAAAGGAGTGCAAGTTTACAAAGGAGCAGTTATATACATGGAATTTGTGATGCTATGATGTGCTACATCTCACCTATCTTGACGTGCCAGATTCATAGAGATAATGACATCTAAAAGAAGTATGATACCACCAACAATTATTCAAAGAAGAAAATGTGGTGATAAATTCGCGAAAAGCCAGAAGTGCTTTCGCACAGACACTCACGCACACATATGCACACACACATACACACATACACACACACACACACACACACACACACACACATTCCAAAAAATGATAATGCACAGTGCACTGGTGTATGATATAGCAAAACGACCAGCTTTTGTCAGATGTCACCTCAGTGCCTACAAATCAAGAGTGAGTAATTCAATACACAGTAATATTATCAAGGAGCGATGTTGAGTAACACTGAGCGAACTGTCATACTCACAGAGGACCCTAGCCAGGGTTGGTGTTAATTTGTGGTCCCAAGTTCCTTATCTCCACAGCTTCTCTCAACCTCCTGCTTGCCCTGTCACCTTACCTGGCTTCGTTCGTTAAGCTATAGAATATTGGGCTAATATGTTTGGACATTAGTTTCACCACCACCAAACCGTATCATCTGGTGAAGCAGTTCAACTTTGGACCATAATTTATGAGAATGGGACATTAGCAATGATGACGGAAGGAGGAAGCTACCTAAACCAACTGTGATATTGTACAAATTAGGGCGAGTGGACTCGGGCATACTCTTCCATATTTCTGTATACTTCAACCAAGCGTCGAAGTAATCATCTGCCTGCGACGTTGATAGGCGTCCCGTCATCATAAGCTCAACTGCCGAATGATACGTTGCGGCGTCAGCAACGATATCGTAGCTGCTCCATTGAAGAACACCGCTTTCTATATAATCTCTATACCAATGAATGGATGGGTTGTACTCCCAGTCTCGGTGTAAGCAGGCCAGGTCCGTTTCTTCAATGGGTGGTATCCATTCTGGGCTGTTCATCTTTGCCGTTAGGAATCCCTTTCCCAGCTCTACAAGCCTCCAGGATCGGGTCAGATAGGGCAGATACGAAGCCAGCATTGAAAAATCCTTTTCGATATAGTCAATGATTGCAGTTTGGAACGCTTCAAAGGAGCCGCACCTTTTGAACAGCAAATCGACAATCTCCTCTAGCACGTACTTAGCCTTCCCAGCAACACCAAATTCATCCTGAATTATTCTTACTCTACATTGTTCGTGGATATCCTTGTCCTCAACGTTGGGAAGGCAGAGAGAGGCGTCATATGCAGTCACTAGCTGGTCCAGCACAAATGGGATGCCAGCCGGGCTAGGTGTTAGACGCAATGTTGACGGTGGCTTGCGTGCCATGCTTGATAGTAGCACCATCATCCGCCATTTTTGTCTCAATACCACAAGGTAATCTTTACCTGCTATGCAATTTCTTGTTGACTCACACCGCGTGTGATGAAAGGTTGCTATTCTCGTAGCCATATAGAGAACCTTTGCCGCTTGGATGTAAGACGATGGCAAGCTTGGACTGAGCTGATAGCGGAACTGCATACATTGGGAAGAAAAAATACATATTAGACACCATTTCATTTGTTTGCAGTTGACACAGTTTGGTGCGCTCCCCGTGATATCAAGGGAAAGGCCGAGGGCCCTCTTTACTGGTGTGAGTTGCCAGTATTATGCAAGCCAGATATTGATTGATCGAAGAAGGATAGATTTACCATCACTGTGGATAAGAGTCATACTGTAGCTCAGTTGGTTAGAGGATTACTCGCGAATAGCAAGGTTCCTGGTACGAATCCTGGTGGTGTGACTGATGATTTTTTTCTTTCTTTCATATCTGGCTTGCAAATGTTGAGTTTCGGAGAGAAAGGAGCAGTATGTGGCATGTGGCCTCTAATTTCCTAATACTTTGAAATTCTCCGTGAAGTCCAAATTTGAACTATTACACACCCTTATAGGGGTGACAGTGTATGTGGTGAGTGTGTACAGGCCAGCAGATCTTGTAAAAATGGGGTGGGAGTTTGCAGTGGACTTTACGGTACGTGTACAATATTAATTTTGTCTGTGGATGCACTTTTGGCAGCAGTGAATGACAAAGGCTTGCAGCAGGTAGACCCGGCAAGGACTCCCTTGCTTGGTCTAGACCTACCCAGTCAGCTAGAAAAAACGAGTGGCGGACCCAGCGATGGCAGCACTGACGCCGAACTCAAGGAACATCACCCTGAACTGTGTTCCAGGTGCGGAAATTTGGCCACACTCTCGCGGCAGCACTGCATAGCAGGTGAAGATTACATTCTGGTTTTAACAGAAAAATTGCGGATGATGGTGCAACTATAAAGCATAGCACGGAAGCCACCGTCGAAGTGGCGTCAAATAACTAGCCCGGCTGGCATCCCATTTGTGCGTATCAACGTGGTTTTCTACCTGGCTTGGGGGACTAGGTATGGCAAACCCCTGTTCAATGGCTGACCAGCACAACTCGTCCAGAAGGATCACGGCTAGCCTCGTGTCTCGCCTGCTGGAGCAGGAGTCGTCTCTTGGCGACTCTCTGACTCAGCTTCGGGCGGTCAAGGCGACGGTTCTTGCCGAGAAGTGGAGCGCGGCCAAGTCTCTGGCTGACGCCCTTCGCTCGGATCACCGGGAGCTGGCCCCTGTTTTTAATCTGATCTCAGAAAAGTGTTCATCCAGCTGGCTGATCTGCCGCCCCTCAGGTGCAATGGTTTCACCCTCACCAAGGGAGACTTCCGGAAGGGCCAGTACCTCCGGCACGGCTGGACACCTCCTCCGCTCCCAAGCCTCTGCGTGTGCAGTAAGCCGCTGAATTTGAGTGACGCCTTTTCGTGCCTGTTCGGTGGCTTCCTGACGCTGCGACATAGCGAGGTGAGGGACATCACTGCGAGAGCTCTAAGGCAGATCTCTCATAACGTGACGGTGGAACCCCACCTCCAGCTCGTCACTGCAGAGGCATTGCGCCATCACACAGCTATCACGGAGGAGCAGGCTCGGCTAGACGTTGCCTCTAGTGGTGTGTGGGGTGGCCGATTCGAGCACACCTTTATTGATGCACGGGTGTTCAACCCTTTTGCGTCTTCGAATCGTGCCACTTCCCTCGCTGCCAGCTACAGACGCCATGAACAGGAAAAGCGCCGGAAAAAATACGAAGAGCGAGTACCGTATTTTTCCGGTTGTAAGTCGACCTTTTACGACTTAAAATAGAAGGAGAAAGGGTGGGGGTCGACTTACAACCGGGATTCGACTTATAACCGGGAACTATCAGTATCTTACAAAAAATGACCTGCACTGCATGCACGAGTGCACCATGTTTATACATTTTTGCCAGTTTATGGGCCTTTTTCAAGGATTGGGCCGTTATATCCTCCAATAAGGAATATTTACATGATTTGCTGATGTGTTAGTAGCAGGAGGTGGTTAGTAGTGCTTCTTTGGGTGAAAACTTTAAAACGCAGAATTGAGACCTCCAGATAGGGGGGTCGACTTATAACCGGGGTCGACTTACAACCGGTAAAATACGGTACGCGAAGTCGAGCATGCCTCCTTCGTGCCCGTTGTGCTTTCTGCCTTTTGGTGGCTATGGCAAGCATGCCAATGCACTTCTCCTGCTGATCGTCTCTCTTCTGGCTGAGAAGATCAAGGAGTCATACGTGCCTTGGTTTTGCCCATGTGCGTTGTGGTGCCATGTGCCTGCGTGGCTCAAGGAGCATGTTTGCTCCTGCAGTGCCCAAGTCCCCTGCTATGCTAGTAGTGGCGGAGGCACGCATCCAGAGAACCTGCAGTGATTCTACTGAGTCTGTATAATCATTACTATATCTGATGATCCGTTTTATGTACAAATCTAATTGTATTATGCTGCACAAATGTGTTATTTTGCCCGTACAAGAGGTTCAAGGAGTTCAAAAAAAGACTAGACAGGCTCTTATCGTAAAGGGGAAAATACCGTGATTTGGGTTCGGCCTTTAGCAAGATGCACGCCTTTTAAGCTGTTGCCACGAGAACAGCTTTTAATTCGCGTGGTACAACCATTAATGTCACCGTATACGTGATACAAGGTGAAATGCATAAGGACTATGGAATATTTGGCCAAAAAACGCACTGTTTGTCACAACAATAAATCAGTCCCAATAACATTTTTACGCTGCATCTTCAACGCTATTCGGGTGATCAAAGTGCGAGTACCGTAAAAACTAGCGTTACGAGAGAGGTGCTGCTATACGTGAAACGTAGCGAAATCACGTAGAGAGCAGCTGTCTGGGTTAGAGTCTACGGCTTCGCGTGTTTTGGGTCCAGATTTCTACGCGTAGAGTAGTTTCTCTACGTTGTGGCACACGCAAAGACAATGCGCATGTAACTGCTGGGTATCATTCGAGTGTAGGCAGAAAATTGCCGAGAGTGCCGAGTGATTGTTTGCGTCACGTTCCCGAAACGTAGAGCATAACCTCACTACTGGTGTTTGCTAAGGGCCGGGTTCCACTGCGGCTCACTGCTCGTCATCCGCGGCTTCAAACGTCATCATTACCATAGTGGCCGCGGCTCGAGCTGGTGCAGCTAGACCGCGGCTCGAGCTGGTGCAGCTAGACCGCGGCTCGAGCTGGTGCAGCGAGACCGCGGCTCACCACAAGCTTTCAGTACGATTCTTGATCAAAAATTGCGAGCTGTGGTCACGGCTCACCCTGTTTCCCGTACGTTGCATTGTTTTGGACGCGAGAACTTTAAAATTCAAATTATACTTCGTTCCGCAGACCAGAACACGAGGATTTTTTGATTTGGCGCCCACAGGCAGGTAGAGCGTCGTCAAAAAACGTGGAACACGACCACGGAGCCGTACTGTATAATCATCACTATATAATTATGATGATCCGTTTTATGTACAAATCTAATTGTATTGATGCTGCACAAATGTGTTATTTTGCCCGTACAAGAGGTTCAAGGAGTTAAAAAAAAGACTAGACAGGCTCTTATCGTAAAGGGGAAAATACCTTGATTTGGGTTCGGCCTTTAGCAAGATGCACGCCTTTTAAGCTGTTGCCACGAGAACAGCTTTTATTTCGCGTGGTACAACCATTAATGTCACCGTATACGTGATACAAGGTGAAATGCATAAGGACTATGGAATATTTGGCCAAAAAACGCACTGTTTGTCACAACAATAAATCAGTCCCAATAACATGTTTACGCTGCATCTTCAACGCTATTTGGGTGATCAAAGTGCGAGTACCGTAAAAACTAGCGTTACGAGAGAGGTGCTGCTATACGTGAAACGTAGCGAAATCACGTAGAGAGCAGCTGTCTGGGTTAGAGTCTACGGCTTCGCGTGTTTTGGGTCCAGATTTCTACGCGTAGAGTAGTTTCTCTACGTTGTGGCACACGCAAAGACAATGTGCATGTAACTGCTGAGTATCATTCGAGTGTAGGCAGAAAATTGCCAAATATGGAAGGGGAAATTCCCAGTACACATTCCACGTGACTTCTCTACGTGAAACGTATGGCAGAAAAGGATTTCTTTACGTCACGGGAACGCGAAGAGAGTCCCGAGTGATTCTTTGCGTCACGTTCCCGAAACGTAGAGCAGAACCTCATTACTGGTGTTTGCTAAGGGCCGGGTTCCACTGCGGCTCGCTGCTCGTCATCCGCGGCTTGAAACGTCATCATTACCATAGTGGCCGCGGCTCGAGCTGGTGCAGCGAGACCGCGGCTCGAGCTGGTGCAGCGAGACCGCGGCTCACCACAAGCTTTCACTACGATTCTTGATCAAAAATTGCGAGCTGTGGTCACGGTTCACCCTGTTTCCCGTACGTTGCATTGTTTTGGACGCGAGAACTTTAAAATTCAAATTATAATTCGTTCCGCAGACCAGAACACGAGGATGTTTTTGATTTGGCGCCCACAGGCAGGTAGAGCGTCGTCAAAAAACGTGGAACACGACCTCGGAGCCGTAGTGGGACCCGGCCCTTAGAATATCTAATGCATGACAAAATGTATTCAAAGGTTTGACAGAAAGTTGTAAACCCAGGGCGCGAAGTAACGGTCGGACACCGGACAATTTTCGACCGTTTACGTTCAGTTTCCGGATGTTTTGTACACATCCGGACAAAGTGTCCGCGCACCTTTTCGCAAAGTTAGTGATGTCGTCTGGCAAGAGAAAGCCAAGCACCGCTGATGCGGGTGCTCCTCTTGGAAAGAAGCCCAGACGAGTCAAGACGACCACTTGTGACAAGTGGGTCGCCGATTATGATAGGGAGCTTTCAACTTCTGTTTGGCTGAATGAGCGCAGTCCCTGAGATTGTAGCGCTGTCAAAAATTTGAAGTGTAAGATGTGTTCCCGTTTTGTTGATAAAATTCGCTGCAGCAAGAATTTTTTCCTTCGTCGTTGGCTCAAGGAACCTGAAAACGTCAGCCTTCAAAGATCATGCTGCTTCTGAAATGCATCGTCGTGATAACATTTCGATAGTATTTATTCTACACTGAACATTGTGTGATTTGATGTGAAAATTTGCATGTCCGGACATGTCCGGCCATTTTTGCAACTGGCAGGACATTGTGTCAGAGCACATTATAATCCTTAGCTCATGCGCTGAAACCGTATAAGTTTTACCAATAAATTGACTCCTACCCCCAGCTCGAACCAGGAACCAGGCACCCTGGCGTATGGCCAGGGATGCACTGGCTCGAACCAGGGACCAGGCCTGGCGTATGGTCAGCCATACCCCGGCTCGAACCAGGGACCAGACACCCTGGCGTATGGCCAACGATGTTCTACCGCTATCAGATTTGGAAACTCATGCTTCATCATAATCCACACTGCCTGGTGGGGCGACGCCATCATTTTAACGTCACTGTGAGTATATACTTCCTCCGCGTCATTAAAATTGTCGCTTCGCACATCGCAATATTTGTGACTTGGCTCGTCTTAGTCAGACTGTCGGAATCGCTGCTTCCTGTGTTCGAACACTGGTGTGGCCCTTCCTGCGCAATGTCTACTTGTCGCTGAAGCCGTGGTGGTCTCGAACTTTGTCGGAGCTCTCTTCCGCACCAAGCAAATTCATCGCAATCCGCACTATTCCGCCCCAGAGCGCATTTCGTTTTCTGGAGTTCGTGCCGTCCCACAGCGTTCTCGTGGGCATTTGTCAAAACTGCAAGCTCGGGTATAATAATCCTGGTATCTCTGCTGAAGTTGGCGATGGCAAGAACAAAGTGGTCTCAAATTCCTAAAATGCGCTACTTGTGGCGCATGTTGCTGCGAAGGTAGCAGGTCTGAAAACACCAACAAAATCAGCGAAGCGCTTGCCAAGGAAAGAAGGTGCGGAACTGCTTACCCTGTCCCACTGGAAGGTCGTTACAGTGTACTTGAAAAATGCTAGCTTGCCTTCATCGCCTGGCACCTGGAGGCATGGATCGCCTGAAAACGAAGTTTCTTGACCTGAATTTGAACGCGCGTCTTGTTCAGCGTATTGTTGAGTGCTGAAGGCTCTGCCTCAAACTTTGATGAAGACGTCGACCTTAGCTGCAAGTGCAGCGAAGCGGAGGGGGGGGGGGGGGTCACAAACTAAAGCTTGGCCCGTCGACAATGCCCTGCCTCAATTTCTAGCTGATTTCTGTGCCCTTCGAGTGGACAAAATAATTTTCGAAAAATCGCTCTGGGAAACGACAATTTTAATGACGCGGAGGAAGTAATTATATCTATTTTACTGCAGTAACATGGACAATCATTTGAAGCCTTCTCACCAACGGTGACGGCCTGTTCTCAAAAGGTGACGTAAATAGTTTGTCTAGTGAATAGAAGTAAGGGGAGGAAAGACCTGTACAGAATATGAAGCTAAAAGTGAGATTTACTAAAAAATTCTTTGTGATTGCAAAATCTGTTGTTTTCAACGCCATTTTGCGTGTATCGTCTCCTCAACCATTACTTCAAATACAGTTTCACTAAGCACACACAATGTACAGTTTTGGACTCACCAGACATATCAATTTGAACGTGTACTCATCGTACAGCATTCGCCTCAATTTCTTGTTTACACCGCACAGCTGGAAGATGGCCGGTACTGTCAACATCGGCAAAATGGTGGAGTGCCATACATCAGGTACAACACTATCCAGTCCATAATCGACCGGTTCGTGCTCACTCGATTGGGGATCTTCAGCCATGTTTGATAAGATTGAATTTTCACTAGCTGCCATGTGATAACAACACCTACATGTACATATAAGGTCAGAAAGAATAAATAGAGCACAATAGTCAACATACACTGTCACCATCACTGTTGCTGGTGCACGTATTATTATTATTTATTATTTTACGCATTCCAGCGTTGAAGTGTAGCAGCAGTATGCTGCGTCCACAGCTTCGCTTATGCAGTATGCCTTGGGTGAGAGAAGAGGGAAGAGAAAGCAACAAGGCAACCAACATCTATGAAATAGGTCACATTAACATGAAGGGAACCAACCTACATATGCATGATTGCACAAGAATGGAGACGACAAATGGCTATAATCATTTTGCCATAGAACCGGTACACAGGAGATCTTTCGACAATGTAACGAAACATAAAACTCAGTTTAAGGGCCTTCAAATATTTAGAAACGAAAACTAGTCGTTTCTCTTCAACCTCCCTCCACCCTCCCTGAGAAACGAACATATACAAATGGTACATAGTATCGATATGTTTGGTCTTTTTTCTGGGCATACTCACACATGCAAAATGTACATCGATATTTTTCGAGAAACGAACAGGCGCTCAACCCCCTCCCCCCTAAACGACTAGTTTTCATTTCTAAATAAATATCTATATTAACGGATGGCCCCTGCCAATGCTCAATACAGGTTCCACTAAATTACAAGAGAACAACGCTACAACATTACAATTGCCGCTAAATTATCGCAAGTGTAGAGAACGAATCCAATACAAATGAAAACCATGAACAGACTGTCCTGAAGTTATTTTTTGGGAACAAATTGTACTACATGTACATCATCGTACTTGCTGACACTGACGCTGACGAAACACGAATTTGAGTTGAATACGCACGAAGTATTGTACATGTACATCATTATGCGCCGGTGTTGTGGAGTAAGCAGGTACGTCAGTCACCAATTCAGCTTCAGCTCCGCGCTCGCTTCAGCAGAATGTTGCCCGCGTTTGCTTTGCCTTCACGCAGACAGACGACCAGCGCAGAGTCCCGCAGCTCCGTGGCCGTAAGGTCTTGATATTCGCCGTTAGGGCAGTCAAGTCTCAGTCCACGTCTCACAGCAAGCCGCTCTATCAAAATCTTTCTCTCTCCATTGGAGTGCTCCCCAGTTGCGCGAGGAGACTAGAGAAATTCCTCCGGTGAGCGAGGAAGAAGAGCGGAGTTACCCAACTCAACCAAACTGGTGCACTTATGGCTACATATTATTATTATTATTATTCACTGTGAATATTTTGTTCCTCATCTCTCCGTAAATCATGACAAATTGTAGCCAGTGATTTTAGTTTTCTAGAACACCCTACAACTTACCTTGCTCAGACGAAGAAGAACTTAGAAATGATGATATCCGTCAGAAACACAATTGTAGGAAAAGAGAACCTGCTCTCGGCGTCAGCTTTCCAGAAAGTGAACTGACTTTCTGAAGGCTTGGGAGCTCTGATTTATTACATCAGTAATAGCGGCAGAGTCAGCGCGCGCTTTGCCCGAGTTATCGTGGGCTTGCACAAGGCCCGGCACGCGCGAGCCGTGCTAACAAAATGCCGTGCATGAATGTAAACTCAGCACTAGCACTACAGTACAGTCTTTGCATGCAATGACTTGCGCCCACACCAAGGACATCCAATGATCCAGGTCGGGTCAAGTCATGACGTCATTACTACATGACTGTACTCATTTTACAAGTGAGTGAGTTATTATGAGTGTACAATGACGTTATGTCAGGGTTCACAGTCTAGTTGCGAAGAAAAGCGTCGATTAGATGGGGGCGGCGCACGTGCTCCAAAATGCCAGCTTGACCAAATTAATCAGGCACTTCAGTCACGTGACAGGACCTGTCAAAATTTGCTGAGGTGAGAGTCCGTACTTGCGTGGCACCAGTCAAGTGCATGCGCTAAACTGTACAGGTACTCGCTATGCTTCGTTGTACGGGCTGATAGTTGGGCGCATCGTGTTGCTCTGACGTTCAGCTTTCAGTAGATCCCGCATACGTCATAGTGCGTACATTTTTGCGAGTTGTAGATCACGTACACTACCAGCAAAGAGTTTTTTCACAAAGAACTGTTGTTTGCTCGCGTTTGAAACGTTGCTTATCGTCTTCAGCGTCGTCTTTCCATTCGGAAACAGTAGAGTTCTTGTTTACCAGGGTTTGCGCATCGCTGCGCAAGGAGACATTATGTACGTAGGCACTGAGAAGTATGCGCTTTAGGCGGAGGAGAACGACGATGCGTCGTCCTACCTGGGCGAATTCTCAAAGCGTACTGAAAGCCAAGTTTTGACACGGTTGCGCTGGAAGGCCTACTGATGTTTACGAACAATCAAAAGGCACAGTGGCTGCTGGAGAAACCCTCTGATGAGGGGATGCTTTGATATACGCATCCAGGCACGCTTCACCAAAATTTCAAAGCTCACCAGCAGGCAATTCATGACTGCTGCATGGAGCAGTTGAAGGATAGGGAGGCAGATATCACACCATGGAAAGAAGCTACCAACCGAGGTCCTGAAGAACTTCTTGCCAACTTGGAAACACTTGAAGTGGCATGACTGTGAGCACGAATATCCTGTGCAGTAATTCGCGAGCGCGGGCGCGCGCGTACATACCCTCCACATTGCGGCGTACAACGAGGAAGTTCTCTGTTTTTGTGCCAGAAGAATGTCTTTATAACTCTTACGCTTTTGTACCCGCCGGAGCCTGCCAGTATGTCGTTATCAGTTCATTTCACAGCAAACTGAAGCTGTTACTATGGGTTACTATGGCGTTGCTATGGGTTGCTATGGAGTTGCTATAGTGATTGCGGTCACAATTGCCGTATTCTTGCCTATTCTGAACTTTGATCTGTATTGTTTCGATCCATACAGGGTTGTCGGTGTAAGTGAGTGATGTGTGCTTGAAAAAAACACTCTGATGTTTTGTGACTATATCCACTGATGATACTTCGGAGATGCTGTTGGTGCCACAAATTGTATTGATCTCGCCTCATCCAACTGCCTATCTTCAACCCTTCATATCTGAGTGGTATCACTGTGGATTTCAATAAAATTTTCTGTGTGACCTTGTGATACCCACCACCATCGATTGCCGATGATAAACCTGGAAAAAACGCGATTTCAAAAAATGGGGTGAGTCTGAGTCTGAGTCTGAGTGTACAATGACGTTATGTCAGGGTTCACAGTCTAGTTGCGAAGAAAAGCGTCGATTAGATGGGGGCGGCGCACGTGCTCCAAAATGCCAGCTTGACCAATCAGCAGTCAGCATTTCGTCACATTTTTGCTCGAAGTAGGGGGTGTTTGAAGGAGTTAGCAGCACTTCACCTACATGTAGGTTCTACGAGGCTGGGACTTGACCCAGGCACAAATGACAGGTGTTCCAAAATATTTACCGAAACAAATAAATATATTATTGTCATTACTTACACGGGTATGCCAGAGCATATGCGTAAACCTCGTGGGATATAGTACAGTATAGGAAATGAATATCCAAAAACGTCTCGGTACATTTCTTTGCCAGGGTGTCCTGAAAATTTTAAGCCATCGATTGTCCAAATCGACCAAGGGGGAGATGCCCTGTACTGATTTTAGCGACCCCGAGTCCCAGCGGCGCGCAACCGCTTGCGCTTGCACGAAAATGTGTGAAGATCAAACAACAAGAAAAACGCATGCATGCAGCAGAACAGCAACGCGTGCCGTCGAAGAGAAAATCATTGTGCACAGATTGTTCAGTGTTCTCTCCTTAGTTCGCCCGCTGCGTTGGGTGCTGTGCTTTCATTGTTCTTGTGGCAGCGCATTTCGCCATCATGGAGGAACTGGTACCCTTTGAAACCTGGTCTTCAGTGGCCCTGGACTAACGCCCGGTGAATTTGCTGGTCCCGTTCACCTCCATTCGTTCAGCAGCTCCGTGTGGTATCATCATGTTCTCGGCGTTACCTGCATGGCGAGCTCTGATTCGTTTGTTTGTCTTCTTACCTGTGGAACATCACGATCGCTGATTGTAGCATCAGCTTTCGGTCGAACATGGCATGTTGTTTTTACTGGGACTAGCACAGGTTGCGTTTCGCCTTCTCCTTCGGTAGACCAATTCTACAAGGAACACTGAAAGGCAATTCTTTGCACAGGACAAGCACAACTACGGTAACTGTTCAATGACATTATGCTGCGGTGCAATTCCCAGTGCAAATAATAAAGCAAACTATTTCCACTGGAGTATGCACGATCGTCAAAGCACAAGATCGAGACGAGCGGAAACGAGAATGGTTTGACACTGCATGCCGATAGAAGCGAGGAAAGGATAGGTCCTACCAAAATATCGCGAACATCGGCTCTAAAACTACAAGAACAGGCTACAACTTACACGTACAACTCAGGTTCTTTCTCTTCTCTGTTCTGTTTGGAGGCGTGGGATGTACACGATTGCAACTCTCCCGGGGTCACGCGACTCACGTGCACCAAACCCTCCCTCGCACGATGCTTTTGTCGATCCTGCATGCCTCATCCATCATGCATCATGTGTTTGCGGGGTTCACGGGGTCTTTTCCGTGAGCGATCGGTTCGGCATCCGGAGTCTGCTGAGCTGTTTGTTGCTGAGGCCCAGGTTGCTCGCTTCTGAGAGTCTATAAATTGCAGCAGATTATGTTAATAAATTAAATATAAATTAAAAATAATAAATACTGGACATGGATATTGAATTGACCTGTACTCAGTGACTTTCAACATTTTACAGGCTGCGTTTTAATATTATTATTATTGTAAAGCTTTCCTTTTGATCTTGTCTCTTATTGTTGTGACCTTTCCACAATGATTGTGTTGCATTGTAAAAAAAAAAAATTAAAAAAGTAGATCTACACTATAGTAATCGGAGCGAGAGTTACATGACTGTACGGTCACAAAGGTCAAAAAGAATGGTTCCACCAATTATTTATACATACGTTGTAACGCTGCTAAGGCAATCATCAGACAGCTAATGCTTTTGTCGCGGGATAGCTTGTTCTTATTGTGGGGGATACGCATGGGCATGTAGAAGAGGTGTGAGCTATCAATGCAGGGCCTGCATGGGAAGAGCGAGTGATAAGAATTACATCACTGGATGGGCATGCGCAGTAGGCGCGAACTATGCATGGAGCGTGCAGAGGCGGAGAAACCACGTACCAGGCAGGACAAGTGTAAGCCATGGGGGCACTGGGCAGGGGGTGTGATCCTGGGTATACCCACTTATGTGACTCTACGGTCATGCAGATCTACAGTAATCGGAGCGAGAGTTATGACTGTACGGTCATGTAGATCTACAGTAATCGCCTACTAATCGGAGCGAGAGTCACATGACTGTAAAATGAAACTGTTCTGTCCGCAGATTGACTGTACAATCATGTACCGGTACATGTAGATCTACCTCAACGGTTCAATGCGTTGCAACTACTTCCACCCAGGACTGAGGTATGGGTACTAGCATAGTACTTGTAATACTAATAGTAATACGTGTACATGATGTACTAGTAGTAGCAACAATCCAAACTAGCGCACACACTGCACTGCTTTGTGCTATGCATTCAAGGCTGACGTCATGCGCTTGGTTTTGCTGCGTTATCACAAAATAAATGGCCCCAAACCGTTTTTCTGAAAAGAAAATAAATCTTTCTTGCCCTGTTGTGTTCTTCCAGACAACGGATCGTGCTTCAGCAGTGTTTCTTTTTCCCACCATCCCTCCCTATCGAACTTATCCACAGTGACACCATCATTATAATTATCGTACCCACTAATCGGGTCCACTCTCAGAACTGGTGTGATCTAGCTATTTGCGGCAGCTCTGCCTTCCGCTATATTACATCGATTTAGAATTGCAGCTGTACGTTGAGCTAATCGCAGCTCTACCTTGGGCTAACAGCAGCTCTACTTTGAGCTAACAGCAGCTCTACCTTGAGCGAACAGCAGCTCTACTTTGAGCTAACAGAAGCTCTGCTTTGAACTAAGCGCAGCTCTACTTTGAGTCACCAGCAGCTCTACTTTGAACTAACATCAGCTCTGCTTTGAACTAAGCGCAGCTCTACTTTGAATCAACAGCAGCTCTACTTTGAACAAACATCAGCTCTACCTTGACTCGAGCTAACATCAGCTCTACCTTGAGGTAACAGCAGCTCTGCCTTGAGCTAACCGCAGCTCTACTTTGAGATAACAGCAGCTCTACTTTGAGTTAACAGCAGCTCTGCCTTGAGCTGCCCGCAGCTCTCTAACAGCAGCTATATTTGAGCTAACAGCAGCTCTACCTTGAACTAACAGCAGCTCTACTTTGAACTAACAGCAGCTCTACTTTGAACTAAGCGCAGCTCTACTTTGCGTTAACAGCAGCTCTACTTTGAGCTAACATCAGCTCTACCTTGACTCGAGCGAACAGCAACTCCACGTTGAGCTAACAGCAGCTCTACCTTGAGCTAACC